CAAAATCAGGAACAGGGCAACTCAAAATCAGGTCATTTTCTGAGGATTGAGAACACAAACGATCAGAGGAAGACAGATGCTAAATAAAGCCTCTTGATTCTGGTTTTCTCTAGAAAGAATGCCTAAGAAACCTTAACTAGATTATTTGGAAATCTCCTCTGTTTTTCTAGCCTACAAAATGACTCTTATTTCCCCCGCCTACCCATTTCTTACCTTGAGGAACCATCCTGAAAGAATAATGGAAGTCTGAAGGCCGGGGATTTAGCTCAGTGGTTCCACCACCTGCCTCACAAGTGCAAGATCCAGACAGAGTTCAATCCCCGGTACCAAAAAAAAAAAAAGAATAATGGAAGTCTGTAAGGCTAATACTAAACAACAAACTGATCTAATTCTGCTGATTGAAGCATTTTGAGAAAACCAATCCATACATTAAACTATCTTATTCTGTTATACATAGATTCTATTATATACAGGATCTAAACATAGTGTTGAAATTGTCTCTAGTAAAAGTACTGATATGTACAGGTAGCAATATAAGTAGAACTTTCTTGTTGTTTCTGCTTGTCAGCTGAAGTCTTGGTGCAGAGAAAATTATTAAGACCCTATGTAATATATGAATTTTTAAGGAGTTGCACAAAAACCTGATCCAGAACTTCAAGCCCCCAAATCAAAAGAGGCAAAATGACAAATCCTAATAAGCTTATAGTGGAGTTACCCAAAGAGAAATCAGCATAGTGAACTTTCTCTGTGTAATTCAATAAGACTGGTGTCCTTATAGGAAGAGGAAATTTAGATACAAGACATCAGGGGCATGCCTGCACAGAAAACAACCACGTGAAGTGGTAGCAAGAGGATAGTCATCTGCAAGGCAAGGAGAGAAGCCTGAAACAGTTCCTTTCCTTATGGCCCTGAGAAGAAACCCACTCTGTTGGCACCTAGATCTTGGATTTCCAACCCTCAAAAATGTGATAAATAAATTCCCATTGTTTAAGCCACCCAGGCTCTGGTATTTTGTTATGGGAGACCTATGAAACATCTACCAGCCAGGTTTAGGGAGGAGGAAGAGGACTTTATGCTTATTAGTTTAAATGTTATGCAAGTTATATAATTGCACAAATTTTCTAAAGTATACCTCCAACAATTTTTTATGTATGGTAGTAAGGATTGAATCCAAGACTTTCACATTAAGCTATATCCCAAACCCTTTTTAAATTTTTTTAATTTGGGGGCAACCCACTTTCTGGTCTCCCTTCTGTCTCTCTTAGACAGAAGCTATCTTTCTCTCAATAAATTTTTCCTACTCTCAAATTTTTTTATTTTAAGATAATGTCTGACAAAATCACTGAGTTGCCTGGGCTGAGCTCAAAATTGCAATCCTCCTGTCTCAGCCTCCCACAGTGCTAGGATTATAGGTATGAGCCATGACACTTAAACCTTCTATCAAATTTTAAAATAACCTTAAAAGTCAAATTAGACATTAATTCATCATAATTTTTTAAATATTACCATTTTTCCAGAAGAAAAAATGAACTTGCTCTTCAAACCTTGTACCACATAAAGTTTGAAGTTCTCTTAGTGCCTTCTATGTTAGAAATATCAGGGGGTTTTGCCTATATAAAGACAAGTAAATTTTTTCTCATTAGAAGCATATGTTCAGAAAGGAGTATTGCAGTCAAAGCTTTAGCCATGTTTCTGAGGCTAGAAGAGAAAATACTCTCCCAGCTCATCAAAAGTTTCATACATTTGTAGAAAATTTCAAAAAGGAATAGTGATTAAGATAAAGAGTGTCAGCCACTGTCCCCTCAGTCTCTTGGGAGGCTTTAGCGCCTTCAATTATGCCTTCAATTACCTTTCAGTGTAATCGCTGTATAATAGTTCTCCTTCATGAGATAGTTACATTTTAACTGGGGACAAAGTCTTCTGTTACAAATAAGGGCTCACCTATTTCAGACATCAGTCCATGAAGATTCACCTCGGGTGGAGACTACACCTGAAAAGATGTTTTACGTTAATGTCAGTTTCACTGACTCTCAAGTAATATAGCTAATATATTTAAGTGAAAGCTACCATTGAACAATAACAGGGCATAATGAAAAATAATCCCCTGTAGTCAAAAGTGTGCCACTAAAAATGTACTTCTTCCCTGATTCAAAGCCATTTTTAATTGTCTGCAAAAATGGAGCTGGAACACTGGAATATTTCTCCTTTGCAGTGAGCCTAGTGTCAAGCTTCCTCAGTATGGGGAGCTGAAGTAGCACTACAAAAGGGCTACTTCCTTCCTGAACAGGGCTTTCCTTCCTGATTCAACTGCTTTCCATTTGTATCTTGTTCCTGTGTCATGGCTGCCGCTTTCTCACATGTGGGATTTATCTAGGAACATTTACCCCCAAGTTGTAGTGGCACATGCATGCATGGCTTCTCATCCAATTTCAATAGTAACCCTATGGATGGACAGCTTCCCAAAGAACCACACAGGTGCTGCTCCTGAAGTCAGCTTCCCAGCCCTCACCTGTCTGCACTTTGAAGGACTGTTTACAGCCTCCTAGCCTCTGTGGATGTGTTCTGGCTTGGGCAACCAAGCAAACTTTACTGCAATCCAGTGGTTCACGGCCACACTTTTCCCAACCTAGTCTGAATTTCAGGCTTGGGGGCAATATTCTTTGTCACATTTGTTCCTTGTTTATGTACCTCCTTAGCATACCAAGGAATTCTTTTGGGTTATGTTTACCTCTTTATAGAACATCATCTGGTACAGTTAATAATTCTAATTTTTTATGTTGAACTTTCCTTGTCCAAATTAGTAAGTAATGGTTTTTGCCTTTTGATTGGACCTGGAATTATGCGGGATGCTTGTACGATGTGGGAGATCTTGGGAAGGAAAGACCTTCATTCCTGAAGAATAAACTCTTAAAGCACTTATTTAAAAGCCCAGCCAGGTGTGGTGGTTCATACCTATAATCCCAGCACTCCGGGAAGCTGAGGAAGGAGGTTCTAAAGTTCAAGCCCAGCACGGGCAACTTAGTGACTTAGGGAGACCCTGCCTCAAAATAAAAATAAAAAGGGCTGGGATGTAGCATAATGTGAAGGCCCTGGTTTCAATCTCCAATGCCTAAATAAATACATAAGATAAAAACCCAAAGTATGTAAAGAACCAGAGAAATCATTTGACCTTCTGCCAAGCTCAGCTATTTCAAGTAAGCCTAGTATCTTGATTGCAATAAATGCAATAAAAAAGCAGTGAGCATTCAAATCCTAGAAAGGTAAATTCTCATATTAAATCTTCAAAGAAAAATAAAAGCCTTAAGCAAACTAAAAATTCAAATCTAAATATACAAAGACCTCAAGCAAGTATCAAGTATCAATATTGTTGTACCAAAATGGTATCTTCTGTGCTTACTCTGAAATTTACCTGGAGAGGGCCAGAAAGAGGAACATTTTTCTGCAAAAATGTTAGCACAAAATAGGCCACAAACAGGAGATATAGAAGCATAAGATCTGCAGTCATGATGCATTACACATGGTATTCAGTGTCCCACACTTTGAGTGGTAAGCAATGAGAATCACATCTGTCTCATAGGGTAAAGATCAGTACCTAGGGCCAGTACCTGTCACCTGATGGCTTCTTCACAGAGGGTATTTATTTTTTCTGAATTTTTATTAGTATATGTTTAAAATACATAATGAGTATTAATTCATTGTGGAGAATTGGTACATATACATATTGCATCTTGATCCTTTTTTACTTTGCTTTTCCCTCCCCTCCCTCCTATCTTCCCCCAGTGTCAGACTCCCTTCCCATCTCCACAAAGTCTATCTGCCTGTTTTCTATTATCTATCTTTTATTTTACTCTTTATTATACTTCAAGGTTCTCATATAAATTAAACCATTAAGGGCTGGGGATTTAGCTGAGTGGTGCTGCCACCTCTCTCCCAAGTACAAGGTCCTAGTTCGATCCCTGGTACCAAAAAACAAAAAAACAAAATTAAATAGTTAACCTTCTATGTCCTAAATATTTCACCTAGAAAAAAAAATTCACTTTGAATTATAGTATCAAGATGCATCCATTTTCCTACAAATGACTCAAATTTATCCTTCTTTCTAACTGAGTAGTACTCCCTTGTGAATATATACATTTTCTTTATCCATTCATCTGTTGATGAGCACAGAGGTAACTTCCAAGACCTATCAATTATAAGTTGTGCTGCTATAAACATAGGCATGTATGTATCACTGTAATATATCTTTAATTTCCAGGAAGATAGGCAGAGGAGGGATACCTGGATAAGATGGAATATTTATTTTTACCTTTTAGAGGAATCTCCATACTGCTTTCCATAGTGGCTGTATAGTTTACATTCTCACCAACAATGTAGGAGGGTTCCTTTTCCCCTACAACCTTACCAACATGTGTTGTTTTTTAAGTGTTTGATGATAACCATTCTTTCTGGAGTAATGTGAAATCTCAATATTGTTTTGATTTGCATTTCTCTAATGGTCAAAGATGCTGAACACTTTTTCATGTACTCATTGCTTCTCCTTAAGTCAATAGCAAAGGCCAGAAAAATGTAATGGAGTGATGGGTTTAAACTATCCTACCTTACCACAGAAAGTGGGTAGAATTAGCATCCCAAAACATACAACATTTCAAGGGGAAGAGGAAAAGGCAACATAGATGTGGCGTAGACAAAAAATGGTTTGTTTAAATAATTTAATTTCCTTCCATTTAGTTTCTCTGCAACATTTGTATTAATTCACATTTATGATTTCACTGAGACAGTGAAGAAAAATATAGCAAGGAATAAACAACAATAAAATCCTCTTTATGTAGTCTCACCATGTCTCCAGGTTTTAAATGCTTTACATATTCTAATTCATTCAATTGGAAAAGTCACCAAAAGTTTAAGCAAGTTAGTCAAGGGTGGAGTCAGGATGTGGACCCTATTCAGTATGCCAGCACTTGTGTGCTTAACTTTTCTGTACATTGTCTCTCAACAAATAGGTGGCTTTACGTTCCTCCTACATGCCACCACAGAGAGAGCCATTGAGCCCGGCTCTATGGATTCTTCTCCTCAAAGGTGATCAGCATATAGCACCTGAAGAATGAAGAACTAATGATTAAATGAATGACATGGGAAAGAAGTGTTCCTAGATTTTTTTTTCATTCAAACAATGTTTAAAATCTGAAACCCAGTCTCTCTGCCAGTATCTCGCACTTGCAGATGGAACTCCTGCGCAAGAAGGTCAAGAAGTGGAACCTCAAATTGTGGCAGCGGAACCTAAAGCTACAGGGAGCCTCAAATGTGAGCCTGTCAGAAACACAAAATGGCAATGTGCCCATACAAACAGCAACAGTTGGAGGAAAAGTTAAAAAAATCCCTAAAACGTTCAGTGAATGTGGGCTTGTCCAAAGTTCAAAGTGGAGATGTGCCTGAAGAAACAGGGAAAGTTAAGAAATCTCTAAAACATTGTGTAAACGTGGGCTCATCAGATGCTCAAAACAGGGATGTGCCTGAAGAAACTGGGAAAGTTAAGAAATCCCTAAAAACAGTCTGTTAATTCAAGCTTGTCAGAAGCTCAAAATGGAGATAAACCTGAAGGAGCAAGGAGAGTAGAAAAGTTTTTTAAAAATCTCTAAAACATTCTCTGAACATGGGTTTATCGAAGCTCAGATGGAAATGAGACTGAAGAAACAGCGGAAAATGTCAAAGTTCAAAAGTCCCCCCAGAAATCTACCATATTAACCAATGGAGGAGCAGTAACACCGTCTCCTGATTCAGAATCGAAAAAGAAAAAGAAGAAGAAGAAAATGATGAATGATGCTGGGCCTGATACGAAAAAAAAAAAAAAGCAAAAACTGAAGAAAGCACCAAGACTCATGAACAAACAGAATATGGTGTGGGGAAATCAAATGGTGAGGAAGGTGATGGTGAAGTACCCAGCCTGCCCCTGGGACTGACAGGAGCTTTTGAGGATACTTCTTTTGCTTCACTAACTAATCTTGTCAATGAAAATACTCTGAAGGCAATAAAAGAAATGGGTTTCACAAACATGACTGAAATTCAACATAAAAGTATTAGACCACTTCTGGAAGGCAGGGGTCTTTTAGCAGCTGCAAAAAACAGGTAGTGGCAAGACCCTCTCATTTCTCATTCCTGTGATTGAACTCATTGTTAAGCTAAAGTTCATGCCCAGGAATGGAACACGGGCCCTTATTCTGTCACCTACTAGAGAACTGGCCATGCAGACTTTTGGTGTTCTTAAGGAGCTGATGACTCACCACGTTCACACATACAGGTTGATCATGGGTGGCAGTAACAGATCTGCTGAAGCACAGAAACTTGCTAATGGAATCAACATTATCGTGGCCACACCAGGCCACCTCCTGGACCATAGGCAAAGTACCCCAGGGTTTATGTATAAAAGCCTACAGTGTCTGGTTATTGGTGAGGCAGATCACATCTTGAATGTTGGCTTTGAAGAAGAATTAAAGCAAATTATTAAACTTCTGCCAATACGCAGACAGACCATACTCTTTTCTGCCACACAAGCTCGAAAAGTTGAAGACCTAGCAAGGATTTCTTTGAAAAGAGAGCCATTATATGTTGGTGGGGATGATGACAAAATTAATGCCACAGTGGATGGTCTTGAGCAGGGATATGTTGTTTGTCCCTCTGAGAAGAGATTCCTTCTGCTCTTTACATTCCTTAAGAAGAACCAAAAGAAGAAACTCATGGTCTTCTTTTCATCCTGTATGTCTGTGAAATACCACTACAAGTTGCTGAACCACATTGATTTGCCTGTCTTGGCCATTCGCGGAAAGAAGAAGCAAAATAAGCATACAACGACATTCTTCCAGTTCTGAAATGCAGATTCAGGGATATTGTTGTGTACAGACATGGCAGCAAGAGGACTGGATATTCCTGAGGTCCACTGGATTGTTCAGTATGACCCTCCAGATGACCCTAAGGAATATATTCATCATGTGGGTAAAACAGCCAGAGGCCTAAATGAAAGAGGGCGTGCCTTGCCCATTTTATGCCCAGAAGAGTTGGGTTTCCTTTGTTGCTTGAAGCAATCCAAGGTTCCATTAAGTGAGTTTGACTTTTCCTGGTCTAAAATTTCTGACATTCAGTCTCAGCTTGAAAAATTGATTGAAAATAACTATTTTCTTCATAAATCAGCCCAAGAAGCATACATGTATATACGAGCATATGATTCCCATTCTCTGAAGCAGATCTTTGATGTTAATAACCTAAATTTTCCCCAGGTTGCTCTGTCATTCGGTTTCAAGGTGCCTCCTTTTGTTGATCTCAGTATCCTTCCTATTGTTACTAAGCCAACTTGAAACCAAGGAGCAAACACTTGCGGGGGACATTTTGGACTTAACAGCAGGTTAGTGTGTTCTCTGGCTGCCAACCCAGAGGCTCAGGTGTTTATCCTGCATGGACCATAGAAGTAGTGGGGGAAGTGGGATTAATTGTCAGGATGAGGGATATAGGGACAAAACAACTCATGACTAAAGCCTTAAAAGAGAGAAAGGAGTATGATTCAGTGAGGGGCAGAGGTAAGCTGTTCATTCATACCAGAAGCACAGAGGTAAGCTAGAGCTCAGGTGATCGCTGAGGCTGCACTGCACCAGATATTTGAAGGAATGGCTAAAGAGAAAGGATGGTATCTTTTACAGTTAAAAGCCCCTTAGAAAAAAAATAATTAAATAAATAAATAAATAAATAAATAAATAAAAAAGCCCCTTAGAACCATTAGAGTTTTATACAGACACTCCTTGTTTAATGACCAAATTCCAGTCGCACAACTGGGTCATTAACTGAATTAGTCACCAAATGAGGTATTATGTATAGTATGTAACATTGCAATATTCGGAACAAAGAAATCGTCAAAGGAAACTCCAACTTGATGGCTTTGCTTTTATTCGCATAACTCTTATATACAGTACTATAATGTATAACAGAACACAAAACTGCAGTGTGGTACTGTATAGTACAGTCGGCAAAAATTACAGTACTATATAAACAAGGTGTGCTGTACACAAAGAAGACATTGAAGGTCTTATAAACAAGATGTACAGACTCTACCAAAAAAGAGACAGGTTGTAAGTCCAAACAGTCATTAAATGAGGAGTAACTACAAGTAAATGGCACATTTGGCAAGAGAAAATAAAGCTTATATGTTGCTAAAGATTTAAAAAAAAATCTGAAACCCAATGACAGAAGAGGCAAAGCACCCAGGCCCTTTTACCAGTATAATAATTAGAAAAATCTCTCCAATCACTTCCCATTCAGCTTCCAAACCTTAATAGCATCTCTAGAACACAAAGCCAGAGATGATCAAGGACTTTGTCCTCAATGCCACTGAAAATCTGTCAGCACCATCAGTCAGCTGTTTAATATTGAGAAAATCAATTAATCTTTTCGTGTCTCAGTTTCCTCTTCTTTGAAGTAAAGGATTCAACCAGCCTATTTACAGAATAGCATGCTCCCACACAGAATTACTCCTACACTTCTAGCGCTACCCCAATCTTTCCTCCCAAACAATAGCTGTGATTTTTCTTGGAACTTGTGTTTTTGAATCTTTCATCATCGATCTGGCATCCTGCTAAATACAAAGTAAAAAGGAACTTAAATAGTGAACCACAAAATGAATAACACACAACCTTGAAAGCACTCTGCAAGCTTTAGCTGGTTAATCCTCCCAACATCTCCTTGGAGTCAAGCTAAGCAGTTTTCAAAGGTCAGATCTCATTGAGAGTCTGACTTATTTTATTATTAAAGTCATAGAAAAGCCCAGAGTTCATGGATTATCCTGTCTCTTGTGCTTTTCTCTTCTTCTAATTTCTGTCTGCCATTGTGCTTTGGAGGTTACAGATGAGCTAACGTATTTTTTTAATCTCTTTATGTATAGAAAATTATAATCATGAACTATTAATCCTGCTAATATTCTACACTATGTCAGTACTAAATTACTGTACTGTGTGTGCTCACAAAGAAAATTATCGATGACCTTAGGTGTCTCATAGCACTTTCGATTTCATGAATTTATAAATCCAGAAGAAATATATTTTAGGAAATACAAATTTGTTTGGTATCATTTGTAAACCCTGAAAATCCATAAATGAAGGCCAGTAATTTCTATTTTATCCTAATATCGAAACTACCTTTCCAGGTTTCTCAGTATAAAAAGAAAATACCTGTGAGACAACTTGTTTTGGTTGGTGGTTCTCATTAACATTATACAGGAGAAATCCAGTACCTAGATTGAGATAAAAGGGTTATTTGGTAATAAATCAAATGTATTGCTGCCTTGGCCACTAAAAGAGAAAGTAAAATGTATAATACCTGAAACAGACTCTTCAGTGGTAAGATGCTTCTTTCTGTGATGAAATTCTGTCAATTTACAGATATTTATGGAAACCCAGATATTTTACCTTGTACCCTACAGAAAGTATCATGGATTTTCTGTAAAACCTACTAAACTATACATAGCAAATTAGAAACAGGGAAACATGAAGGATGAGTAAACCTTCAGAAACAAAATGTGCACTGTCACTTTCCTTGAGTAATGGTATTGAATGTGCTCCAAGGCTGTCCTATTTTCCTAAATTGGCACTTGAGAAGAGGCAGCAAGTATAATTTGCTCCTCCAGTTCTCAATAAAAGCACCTTTTACATCACCCTCTTTTCCCTGCTTTTCTGTATCATCTTCTTGCTGTTTTCAATTGTACTGTTCTTAAATGTCCATCCTAAGACAGCACTGGTAGGTGCTGAACAGTGATTAGAGGTGGTATAGTCTCAGTTCATTAATTTCTTGTCAGGCTGTAAGCTTCCAAAACACATGGTAAAAAGTAATATAATGGTAGAAAAAATATCCGAATTGTTTTTAACTTCTCCCTAAAATTCTGTTATCAGTTAATGAGAGAATCCACCCTCAAGCACATGATAGCAGACATGACAACTGCACTATAATAAAGCCAATTTTACATGACTAGTACTAAGTTGTATCTCAGCAATCCTTTCTGGCTCATGAGATTTTTTTTCTGTTTGTTGTTGTTATTATCATTTGTTTGTTTGCTTATTTGTGGGATGATAGTAGGAAGAAAAGCAATAACCAAACAATGTTATAAATATTCCTGTTAAACTTTATGTTGGCATCTGCTTATTATTTGAGTTTGTCAAGATTTTTTTTTATTTTGAATCTATCAACATTTGTTTCATCATATATCATTGCATCCTTTTGTTGATAGCCAAAAATACATAACAGTTATGTAATTGGGACAGAGTATTGGGAAATCCAGGATCTTGTTTTGATTCCTATTCTCAAAAATAGTAGGCCTAGCGTACTTCTTAATCTATACCTTACAGATTGATTTTTTAAGGATAGGTTCAAAAAACATTAAAATGGTATCTACCACCAAAACTATTTTAAAAATCCTCTATAATGTTAAAAATTGAGATTTTTAGAAAATCTTTACTTATAAACACATGGAAACAAGCAAAAAGCCAAAGTTTAACTTGAAAGAATTCAGAATAAATTCATTGAGAATAGAAAGGGGTATAAAATAAATTTTCAATCCTGGATCCTTTTACTTGTTCACTTCCTGGATATGTAGGCATCTCATCATATGTAGCCCTACTCCTAAGAACTGCCTCTCTGCCCACACAAGACCTCGTATGTATTTCTACTTTCATTTTTGTCACTGAGCAGAATAAAATGTTTGCATGTGTCTCTTCCTTCAGATCATGAGCTCTTCAAAAACAGGCAAAGCATTTTAGCAACTCCTGCACCCAACAAAGAACCTAACACATAATAGGTTATAAATGTCTATTAAACAAATAATTGAGCAAACATACCAACTACATGTCCTTACCAACAGAACACTAATCATTAACTTAGATTACAGTTTAAGAATCATGAGGAGTAAAGACATTTCCCCTACCCCACCCTCCTTTTTGCTTCCACGATCCAGTCACTATAACCAAAAATTCCATTCAATTCTAAAATTAAGACATAAAATGCAAGTATCCCCACTAAGGAAGCAACACTTTGGCGTAAGTTTATGTTAAGTTGAAAATCAGTAATATCAGTATTCTCCCTAGGGCATAGTTCCTAGAGGTTGAGGAGGTAGAAGAAAAAAAAATACCCACCTCCCCTGCAGGTCCAAGTCCTCTACTTATAAAGGGACCTCACATCTTAGATCCAAGCTGTTATGGCCATTTTGTTATGGCCATCAAAATCCTGTAGCACCACCCCACCAGCAGAGACAATCTAGGTAGTTTTGCTGCTCCCACCGACACCATGCCTGGAGCAAGGATGCATCCTACAGGTGCCTATTTTGATCATCTGAACCAAGTTGCTCAAACACTCACCCCATGCAACCAAACTGCCTAACTAGCTTCTTGGCCACAACTACCTGTGCCTCTCTCCTACAGGAAGGAGCATATTCCTGAGTCCCACTCAGCAATCAAGAGACCTGGCTGTCTTGCTCTCCACTTTCTCCAGAAGACACCGCTACAGAGGCTTTTACTTAGGAAGGCCTTCCACCCAGACCTGCACCAAGAACCCTGCTGTCTCATGGCAGTGCTGTCCTCATTTTTTGATTAGCAGCCTCCTTGGCCATACATGTCTGCCTAAACAGTAATCTGACTTTTACTCCCCGACACCCCGCTCCTCCTACCGCACTGGTCACTGTGCTCTAAACGGTGAATCCTGGCTTGATACCTGTTTTCTCCTTCCTTTTGTCTAGTAATTTCTGTATTTCTATCAGCCCTAGTCCCCTTGGTTTATGACTTTGAGAAGAACAAGAATGTGGAGTGGTGGCAGGGAGTAGGAAAAGGAACCACTAGAGACAAAAAGATTTTTTAAAGAGAAATCCGTCTGCTTCCCATTCTTTACCTAAACCCTAAGCTGGTCGGTGGCATTCGTTTTAAATTCCACGTATTTAGGGCCAGGGATTTAGCTCAGTGGTGCCACTGCCTGTCTCAAAATTGCAAGTTCCCAAGTTCGATCCCTGGTTATCCCCCCACTCCAAAAAAATCCATGTATTCAGACAGAATTTCTTCAAAAAGTATCTTTAGCTTCTCTGTCGTGGCTTCAGGAGCCTCTCTCAAGCAATACCTCACCAGGTTGAGGCCAACATCCTTGGGAATAGTCAGTCCTTGAGGAACTTGAGTGTCTGCTAAGCTCAATTGGCAAAGTAAATACGTGGAAGGAAGGGACAGAAAGACCAAAGAAAGGAGTATTTCTCAATTAAGAGAAGAGCAGGAAGGAAGGAAGGAAGGAAGGGAGGGAGGGAGGGAGGGAGGGAGAGGGAAGGAAGGAAGGAAGGAAGGAA